ATCTTTACCGATATTGTTGTTTGACATGAGGCTGAGTCTTGTTGGAATATCCCTCGTCCATGACCCGTACCAATCCCTTATCTGAGGCAATAACTGGCGTTGTAGTACTTCTGTTTACTTAACCCGGTTCAGGATACCCTCAACATTGTGCCAACGACTTGTTCCAGGAATGGAAATGGCTCCCCACACCATGAATTTTGTGAGGAAATTTGACCATCTTCATACATTCAGGCATAAACTTCTCACCTGACTGCCTTCTTACAGTCAACATACGATCATCCAGCGCTGCAGTGACTGATTCATCAGAGAACACCACCTGCAAGAAATATAAGAGAGAACAGAACAACCGGAGAAGCGGGATGGTAATCTTAATTTGTTTTCAAATAGAATTGTCATTTTACTAATAATTTATATTATTTTATGAACAACAAATGAACTGAGTAGATAAATATAATTCTTACCTGCTCTCATTGTTCAGAAGTCCACTTAACGTGAGTCTTAACCCAGGCTATACAGTTCTGTATCATGGGGGGGTTCAGTAAGTCGCGGCTTCTTTCTGGGACGATATACTTTCAATCCACTCTCCAAAAGCCTCTCATTAAGTCCTTGGAGCAAGACTAACACCTCCTCCTCCTCCTCCTCCTCCTCCTCCTCCTCCTTCTGCTGCTGCTGCTGCTGCTGCTGCTGCTGCTGCTGCTGCTGCTGCTGCTGCTGCTGCTGCTGCTGCTGCTGCTGCTGCTGCTGCTGCTGCTTCAGAGGAACTCTGCCTGCAAGATGCTCTTCTCTTGTTAAGAGTCATTCGTATTATTTTTCTGTCTAGTCTTGGTGTTGTTTTCTGTTTTCTACCACATCTTCCTACCCATTTTGAGTTTTAATCTTGATCGTAATTAAATTTCTTAATTTTACTGAAGGAGTTAAAACACCAAGTTTTATTGCTAATTTTTTTTTCTGTTTCAATGTGATATTTATTTATTTATTTATTTAGTAATTTGAGCATATATACAGAGGTACAAAAAAATAATCACTCAATAAACGCTTATCCATCCCACTTTGCGAGGACTCAAATCGATATGTTTACCTATTTCTGCTGACTTTCTTTCTATTAAACTGGAAAAAAAAAATACACTTAGTGGTGAGTACGAGCACAGACAATACACACTAGTGGAATTATCACAGTCAATAAGAATCAGAAAACTACCTTCACGTGCCACACCAGGACAACAACTGATACAGTTCTTTCGAGGAACACCAGGCGACCCGGCTAATTCAGTGTTGACATCTATTATTCCTTTAAAGTTGCCAACAAAAAACCTCACAACACTTAAAATTTTTTAAGGTTAATTGAGAATAGTTGGCTTGTACTAATGTATCAAAACATATCCATTAGCAAGCAATGAAATTGTGTTAATTGACCTTTTAGTAGAAAAAATGTCGAATTTTTAACAAATCCATAATAATGCCAGTACTGTAATATTACATTATTATTATTATAATCAAGGGGGAAGCGCTAAACCCGTAGGATTATACAGCGCCCAGGGGAGGGGGGATGTGGAAGGCATTCAGGCTTAATTCGGGGAACTGGAGCACAGATCCAATTCCCTAAATCAAGAGCCCCTCACCAACATCAAGGAACCTTCCATGAGGGGGTAATATTACAGAGTCTGGTATCGCATTCTATCCAACATTTTCGTTAGTACTATTGACAAGTATTTGATCCAAGGAATTAAAGTTAGCATCCCTTTCCTTGTACTAAACCTGAGATCATTCGTAATGTATGACTCAAATGGATTTCCCCACGTATGTAATGCAAAGGTATACTACCTGTAGAGAACGATGGGTATGTGGTCCTTAGGGAGGGCACTAATGATGCCCTGGACGGAAGCAAGAGAAGATGTTCTGATGATCTGCGCGTCCAGCCCCGCCCGACGCAGGTAGGGCATCAGGTCGGACGTTGTTGGCTGGGTGCCATTAAACGGGATGAACATGGCTTCTTGTCCTTCTGACTCCTGGGGCAAAGACCTGGCATCCAATTTCTTGGCATTCTGGTTGGTGTTAGCGTGCGCAAAGGAGTTTGTGGGGAAGACGGTGGGACGTCTGGGTCTTTGCGGCAGCACGTGGTTACTGACGCTCGGAACAAAGCCAGGACCTTGTGGGGAGGAAGTGTTTGTAGTCGAAGACCCAGTGTTGGTGATAGGTGGCGTGTTTGTGGAGGTGAGGGGTGACTCTATGTTCGTGGTGGTGTTGGTGGTGGAAGAAACAGCTACAGACATATGGGATGGAGGATTTGTAGTAGAATGGTGTAATGATGAGGTGGCATTGAATGTTAAAGGTGGCTCGGCAATAATGGTAGTGGGGGTAGTAATAGTAGTAATAATGGTGGTGGGTGCAGCAGTGGTGGTAGTGGTGGTGGTGGTAATAGAATTAGCAGTGGTGGGTGTAGTAGTAGTAGTGGCGGGTGTAATAATAGTAGGGGTTGAGGTAGTAAATGTAATGGTAGAAACAGTAGAAGCAATAGCAGTAGTAGGAGCGGTAGTAGCAACAGGAGTGACGTGAGTGGCAGCAGTAGTGAGCTTGGCCCTAAAAGAAGTGCTATGGTTGCTAGTACTTGGCGAGGGTCTATGGACTGTGTTGCTCCTCCACCAGTTAGTGAAGAACGCTCTCAGAGCGCTCATATTTATGAGGAAACCGCCATACCCTCCCTCAGTATCAGTCTTGTCGGGAAGAGGTGTAGTGGTGGAGGTGGTAGCAGGCTCAGGGGTCTCCGTCTGCTTGGAATCAGTGCTGTTCTCTGCAATAAACAAAGCCAAGCGGCCCACAACCATTATTGCACTAGCTAATGTAACCCTGTGATCTTAGTACTTCGTCCTCACCTCCCTTAGCCTCAGCAATATAATATCCAAAAAACCAACTGAAGTGACAGCAATTATTATATACATATTTATATATATATATATATATATATATATATATATATATATATATATATATATTATATATATATATATATATATATATATATATATATATATATATAATATATATATATATATAATATAATGTCGTGCCGAATATGTAAAATTGGTCAATTAGCAAGAACTTATTTAAAATTAAGTCCTTTCTAAAATTTCCTCTTATAAGTTTAAAGATATATTTTTTTGATTAATGTTAATGTAAAAATTTTTAATTTTGCACCAAAAGGAACTTAGAAAATTTACCTAACCTTATTATAACAAGAACAATTTATTTTAGCTTAACCCAACTAAATATATTTTAGATTTGTTTACAATAATTTAATACTAAACAAACACAGTGAAATATATTTTTTTCGTTAGATTCAGAATGATTTTGGCGAAATTATTGCATACACAAATTTTCACTTGTCCTATATGGCAAGATGAGCGTTGCTATTTAAGCCAAGATCGCAAGTTCTGCCTATTCGGCACGACATATATATATATATATATATATATATATATATATATATATATATATATATATATATATATATATATATATATATAATATATATATATATAATGTGTGTGTGTGTGTGTATGTAACAGAAATATAATAGTAAGTGTAACAACTTATACAACATCTTCAGCTCCCCGGCAGAGGGCGGGCCGCATGCCCAGAATGCTGCAGGTATTTGCCCTCTGGATCACAACACTGAGTCTTTGAGTTTTCACCCAGTTTAGAGCAAACTTGCCCCAAGCTCCAAGGGTCTCCGACCCTACTGGGATGAAGTTATAGCAAGGGGCAGGTCTACATATTTGTGGATCTTCTGGATCTCCCTGTTATTAGCGGCTCCACCCCCTTCAGCTTAAGAGTATGGCAAGTAGGTGTCCGCCAATGTGGCGGCACAGGTGTAGTCCCAGGCAATCTGCTTACCATCCTTCCAGGGTAGCATAGTGATTCCATCTGGACACTTTTGACTTCCATCAGACCTCAGTATTGGGGTTCCCGTTGAACTGGGCAACGGGCTGTGGCGAGATTTTTCTTTATGATGTCTTTGATCTCTTCATGTCTAACGTATTTCCCTTCTCATGTATGACAAACAAGACCATGAAGTCCGAATTGATCAGCCGACACCCTGCCGCAAATACACTTATATTCGGCGAGTGTGGGGGTGGCGGAGAGCAGCACCAGTCGGAATGGCCTGTAGGTCGAGTCGAGTGCCCAGGGAGAAATTGGGAACAGCCAAAATGAAATCTCCTGAATGTGGTGCCTTCACTGCTAGGAGACGAGCTTTGTCCTTTCCCGAAGCGTTGTTGAGCATCGTGTTGGCAATTTTTTCCATGATCGGTTTGCCCCAATGGAATTGTTTGTGCTCTTTGGGAAGAATTGGTCTACTGGAGAAGTCTGCAAGGGTGTCTCACAGCATGGCTGCTTCAATGAACCTGGGGTCCTGAGCTCCTACCGCACCCCCTCAAGCGTTCGGGGACAATCTCCTTGACTAGTCCACTGGAAGCCATACACGAGGACAGAAATGCAATAAAGCCACCTGTATTGCCTTGCTCACCCCTATACCTCCCAGTCGCACCGGAAGAGTTGTTTGATCCCAATGCTGATCTTCCAGTGACAGATTCAGTGCCTTCTTAAAGACTGATCTCAGGAGTGACTCATATTCGTTGAGTGTTGGGTTGTCGAAAGAGGGTGCGCACCTCAAAAGTAAATGAGTCTTGACGGAGTGAGACACCTTGTGAGGAGATACAGGGCATCATGGGCATCAAGATCACTTATACTCTTCTCCATTCTCTTCAGGTCATTCAGTTTGTCCTTGAGGACTGTGTCGATGGCTTGATGACCGAGCGGTTCTCCCAAGAGGATGTTTATGAATGGGGTGGTACTAGAGTCTTCAGGAAGGATTGTTCGCACAGCTGTGATTATTTCCTGGTTAGTTGTGATGATTTCACTCTTGGAGGGATTGAGGATGAATCCTAAGACTTCTCCAAGTGTCTTTACCAGTTGTAAGTCCTCTAGAAGGGAATCTTCTGTACCTGCGAGAGTGGAATCATCTAGGTACCATACAAGCGCAACTAATGTGACATTTTATTTTGGCAACGTTTCGCTCTCCAGGAGCTTTGTCAAGCTTGACAAAGCTCCTGGAGAGCGAAACGTTGCCACAATAAAATGTCACATTATTTGCACTTGCGTCCTTTTACTTTACATATTGTCGGTAATTCTACCAAAATATATACAATCCAGGTACCAGATATTGAACTCACTGCGCAAGCTGGAAGTTATATAAATATACACTGACAAAACACCACACACACACACATATATATATGTATATATATTATATATATATATATATTATGTATTAATATATATATAAAATATATATATATATATTATAATATATATGTATGTATATATATATATATATATATATATGTATGTATATATGAGTGGTGAAGTAACTGGCTGCTGAGGTGGCTGGAGAGGAGAACATGTTAGTAAAGATTACCATACTCTCAGATACTGGTGGAATATGATGGCAAGGTGTTATCCAAAGCAACAACTGTGATGAGTCGGTACTACAAATAAGTTTATCTAAGCATCTGCTGTAGTCGAAGCTTCACTAAACCAACACCAAGTTCGTTATTCGTTTTTATAGCTATTTACTACTCACTATATTCTATTTATTCATGCAGAAAATACTTAAAAACGAAAAAAGTGTTTAGTGTAATTATTATGTCCAATGAATGTGTATATATAAAGTAAAAATATTAACAATTTACATATGTAGTTACTTAAAAAATGTGTATTTCCTGGATTAAGTAATGAAATGCAAAGTCAAAATTGAGATGGATCTTGAAGTGAGACAGTAATTTACAACTCACCGACCTGCTGGTCTCACAACTCTCCTGCCTGCTGGTCTCACAACTCTCCTGCCTGCTGGTCTCACAACTCTCCTGCCTGCTGGTCTCACAACTCTCCTGCCTGCTGCTCTCACAACTCTCCTGCCTGCTGCTCTCACAACTCTCCTGCCTCCTGATCTCACAACTCTCCTGCCTGCTGGTCTCACAACTCTCCTGCCTGCTGGTCTCACAACTCTCCTGCCTGCTGGTCTCACAACTCTCCTGCCTGGTGGTCTCACAACTCTCCGACCTGCTGGTCTCACAACTCTCCTGCCTGCTGCTCTCACAACTCTCCTGCCTCCTGATCTCACAACTCTCCTGCCTGCTGGTCTCACAACTCTCCTGCCTGCTGGTCTCACAACTCTCCTGCCTCCTGATCTCACAACTCTCCTGCCTGCTGGTCTCACAACTCTCCTGCCTGCTGGTCTCACAACTCTCCTGCCTGCTGGTCTCACAACTCTCCTGCCTGCTGGTCTCACAACTCACCAACCTGCTGGTCTCACAAATCTCCTGCCAGCTGGTCTCACAACTCTCCGACCTGCTGGTCTCACAACTCTCCTGCCTGCTGCTCTCACAACTCTCCTGCCTCCTGATCTCACAACTCTCCTGCCTGCTGGTCTCACAACTCTCCTGCCTGCTGCTCTCACAACTCTCCTGCCTCCTGATCTCACAACTCTCCTGCCTGCTGGTCTCACAACTCTCTGCCTGCTGGTCTCACAACTCTCCTGCCTGCTGGTCTCACAACTCTCCTGCCTGTGGTCTCACAACTCTCCGACCTGCTGGTCTCAAACTCTCCTGCCTGCTGCTCTCACAATTCTCCTGCCTCCTGATCTCACAACTCTCCTGCCTGCTGGTCTCACAACTCTCCTGCCTGCTGGTCTCACAACTCTCCTGCCTCCTGGTCTCACAACTCTCCTGCCGGCTGGTCTCACAAATCTCCTGCCTGCTGGTCTCACAACTCACCGACCTGCTGGTCTCACAACTCTCCTGCCTGCTGGCCTCACAACTCTCCTGCCTCCTGGTCTCACAACTCTCCTGCCTGCTGGTCTCACAACTCTCCTGCCTGCTGGTCTCACAACTCTCCTGCCTGCTGGTCTCACAACTCACCAACCTGCTGGTCTCACAAATCTCCTGCCTGCTGGTCTCACAACTCTCCGACCTGCTGGTCTCACAACTCTCCTGCCTGCTGCTCTCACAACTCTCCTGCCTCCTGATCTCACAACTCTCCTGCCTGCTGGTCTCACAACTCTCCTGCCTGCTGCTCTCACAACTCTCCTGCCTCCTGATCTCACAACTCTCCTGCCTGCTGGTCTCACAACTCTCCTGCCTGCTGGTCTCACAACTCTCCTGCCTGCTGGTCTCACAACTCTCCTGCCTGGTGGTCTCACAACTCTCCGACCTGCTGGTCTCACAACTCTCCTGCCTGCTGCTCTCACAACTCTCCTGCCTCCTGATCTCACAACTCTCCTGCCTGCTGGTCTCACAACTCTCCTGCCTGCTGGTCTCACAACTCTCCTGCCTCCTGGTCTCACAACTCTCCTGCCGGCTGGTCTCACAAATCTCCTGCCTGCTGGTCTCACAACTCACCGACCTGCTGGTCTCACAACTCTCCTGCCTGCTGGTCTCACAACTCTCCTGCCTCCTGGTCTCACAAATCTCCTGCCTGCTGGTCTCACAACTCTCCTGCCTGCTGGTCTCACAAATCTCCTGCCTGCTGGTCTCACAACTCTCCTGCCTGCTGGTCTCACAACTTTCCTGCCTGCTGGTCTCACAACTCTCCTGCCTCCTGGTCTCACAACTCTCCTGCCTGCTGGTCTCAAACTCACCGACTGCTGGTCTCACAACTCTCCTGCCTGCTGGTCTCACAACTCTCCTGCCTGCTGGTCTCACAAATCTCCTGCCTGCTGGTCTCACAACTCAC